TGGATAAATTCTAAGGCGTGGCATGGCTGGGTTGTATGGTAGGACTAGATTCAGATTTCTGAGGTATCTCCAAACTGTCTTCCATAGTAGCTTTACCAGTTTGCATTCCCACCAACAGTGGATTAGGGGTACAATTTCCTCCACATTCTCTCCAGTATTTGGTGTTTGTTGATTTCTGTATTAGAAAGCCATTCTAATCAAGGTGAGGTGAAACCTCATTGTGGTTTTGATTTGTATCTCCCTGATGGCTAGTGATCCTGAGCATTTTTTCATGTGTCTGCAGGCCATGTGTATTTTCTCTTTTGAAAAATGTCTTTTAAGTCTTTGGCCCATCTCTTAACTAGGTTGTTTGCTTTCCTATTGTTAAGTTTTTTGATCACTTTATATATTCTGATTATTAATCCTTTATCAGTTGCATGGTTTGCAAATAATTTCTCCCATCCTACTGGTTGCCTCTTTACTTTCCTGTTTCTTTTGTTGTACAGGAGCTTCTCAATTTGATGTAATCCCATTTGTTAATCTTGGTTTTTATTGCCTATTCCTCTGGGGTCTTTTCCAGCAACTCTGTGCCTAGGCCAATGTCTTGCAGGGTTTCCCCAATGCTCTAGTAATTTGATGGAATTAAGTCATAGATTTAGGTCTTTAATCCATTTTGGATGGATTTTTAAGGCATAAGGTAGGGGTCTTGCTTCATTTTTTTGCATGTGGAAATTCAGTTTTCCCAGCACCATTTGTTGAAGAGACTGTCTTGTTCCAGAAAATAGTTTTAGCTCCTTGGTCAAATATAAGTTGTTTGTAGATGGTTATATTGATTTCTGGCATTTCTATTCTGTTCCATTGGTCTATCTATCTGTTTTTGTACCAGTACCAGGCTGTTTTGGTTATAACTGCCTTGTAATATATCTTGAAATCTGATACTGTTATGCCTCGGCTTTACTTTTCTTTTATATCATTGCTTTAGCTGATTTCTCCTGTGTTTCCAAATGAATTTCAGCATCATTTTTTCTAGATCTGAGAAGAATATATTTGGTTTTTTGATTGATATTGCATTGAATCTGTAAATTATTATCAGAAGAATGAACATGTTGATGATATTGATTCTTCCAATCCATGAACATGGAAGTTTTTTTTTCCATTTTTTATGTCTTCTATTTCTTTCTTTAGAGTTTTATAATTCTCATCATAGAGATCTTTGACCTCCTTGGTCAAATTTATTCCAAGGTATTTAATTTTTTGTTGCTATTGTGAATGGGATTGATCTTAGAAATTCTTTCTCAGCCATGGCATTGTCTGTATACACAAAGCCTGTTGTTTTTTGTGTGTTGATTTTATATCCTGCTATTTTGCCAAACTCTCTTTTGAGTTCCAGTAGTCTCCTAGTGGAATCTTTTGGTTCCCCTATATATATATAATCATAGAATCTGCAAATAAAGATAGTTTGACTTCATTCTTACTGACCTGAATCTCTTTGATTTCTTTTTCTTGCCTGATGGCTCTGGCTAAAACTTCCAGGACTATATTGAACAGCATTGCAGAGAGTAAGCATCCTCATCTGGTTCCAGATCTCAGTGGCAATGCTTCCATTTTTTCCCCATTCAATAGGATGCTTTCCATGAGTTTGTCATAACTTGCCTTAATTATGTTGAGGAATGTTCCTTCTAGACCAAATTTGCTTAGAGTTTTCATCATGAAAAGGTGTTGTATTTTATCAAATGCTTTTTCTGCAATGATTGAGATAATCATATAGTTTTTGTTTTTTGATTTGTTAATCTGATGTATCACATTGATTCATTTGTGAATGTTGAACCATCCCTGCATACCAGGGATAAATTCCACTTGGTCTGGGTGAATTATCTTCCTGATGTGTTGTTGAATTCGATTGGCCAGGATTTTGTTGAGGATTTTTGCATATTTGTACATCAGGAAAGTTGGTCTATAGTTTTCTTTGTCACATCTTTTCCAGATTTAGGAATTAAGGTGATGCTGGCTTCGTAGAAGGAATTTGGGAGGATTCCACCCCTTTCAATTGTTTGAAATAGCTTGGGAAGAACTGGAGTTAGTTTTTTAAATGTTTGGTAGAATTCAGCAGTGAAGCCATTTGGTCCTGAGCTTTTTCTTGTTGGTAGGACATAATTTCTTTATCCAAGCTTCAGTTTTGGGGCATTTGGGTTGATTCAATTTCTTTGCTCTTGTGAATTGAGCAAAGATAATCATAGAGGTACAGATAGGACTTTCACATGTTGTTTTCACTTCCATTTGGTAGATTCGCGGGAGTGGAATGGCTGGGTCATATGGTAAGTGTATATTCAGATTTCTGAGGCATCTCCATACTGTCTTCCACAGTGGCTTTACCAGTTTACATTCCCATCAACAGTGGATTAGAGTATCTTTTCCTCCACATCCTCTCCAGCATTTGTTATTTGTTGATTTCTGTATGAAAGCCATTCTAAGCCGGGGTGAGGTGAAACCTGATTGTATTTTGATTTGTTCTTTAAATATCTGGCAGAATTCAGCAGTGAAGGTGGGGTTTTCTTTGTTGGGATGGTCTTTATTACTGATTCTAATGCCATATTGGTTATTTTTGTCTATTTAGGTTTTCTGTGTCTTCACTTTCTTCTCTCTCTCATTCTCTGTTCTCTGTCTTTCACAAACACCTTTCTGTCTCTCTCATCTCTCACACACACACACACCGACACAAGCACACACGCAAAGATCCACAAATCAGGGATCTCCACATTGCCCTCAACACTTCCTGCCCCAGTCCTGGGACTGTGCAGCTTCTGGGCAGGATGGGGCGTTGCCCCTTGGTGCCACCTAGCGGCCATCCGCAGATCCAGAGTTTCTTGAAATGGCCCAAGCCATTGGCTATCTGGAAGGCTGCCCAAAGGCAGCCCCAGAACCTTTCCTCAGAGAGGAGGAATACCAGACTCACCTCAAGCTGCTACAGGCCTCCCCAGGGCGGCAGGTCTAGGGGATGCCGCCCTCTTGACAGAAATGTCCCAGACCCAGTGAAGATGGTGGTGGTGGTGGGGGTGTGTGGCGGGAGAGGGGAGGGGAGGGGTGTTGGGGGGGGAGGGGAGGGGCGACAGAGTCCGAAGGCACCGGGGCCTCCAGTACCGCAGAGCCTGCCACCCGCAGCAGCAGAGCCCGAGCTCAGGCGGAGCTTTGCCTTGCCCTGAACGAGGCCCCGGGGGGGCTGCTCCGATTCCTGGCTGCGGCCCCTGCAGCAGCAGTGTGGTGTTTCTGCTGACCCCTCGCACACCCCGCGGACTCACCGGCCCCGGAAGGCCCCCTGTTGGCCGCGGGAGCCTGGCAGCCGTGCCCAGGGGCATCACGCCCAGCCAGGCCATGCCAGGGTGGCAGCCCTGGGCTCCCCCTCTGAGCCTCCCAGGCCCTGGGGCGCCACAGCCCACCAGAGCGGCAGGGCTCTCCCTCAGTCAGGCACCGTGGTGGCCCCCATACCAAGGAAGGTGCGGGATGCCCGAGGGCATTGCAGGACTCCTCTTCCTGCTGCTGCCCTCCGGAAATCCCGCTGGGCCGGCTCCAGGTCCCTGGTAGGGGGGCCATTCCGGGCCCCAGGGCCAGATGTGGTGTTGTGCACCTGCGCCGCAGGTGAACGCCTCACTGGCCCGGGCCAAGTTCTTCCAAGGGCAGCCGCAGCCGGCAGCCAGCCAGCAGGGCTCTTAGCCCTGGCGGAGGCTCCCAGCCTGCTGGACGAGCTGCTGTCCAGCCCGGAGTTCCTCAACATGGCCCAGGCCGTTGGCCCTCTCGAAGGCTGTGAGGTGGGCCCTCAGGCAGCCCCAGAGCCGCCCCTCAGCGAGAGCGAATACCAGGCTCTCCTCCAGCTGCTGCAGGCTTCCCCGGGGCGGCAGGTCTAGGGGTTGCCAGGCAACTTGCCTTGGGGCGCGGGGAGCTTCCCTCCTGACAGAAATATCCCAGACCCAGTGAGGATGGCAGTGGGGAGGGGGCGAGGGCGTGAGGAGAGAGAGGTGGGGGGAAGGGTGCTGGGGTAGGGTGGGGAGGGGCGACAGAGTCAGAAGGCACCGGGCCCTCTGGGATGCTGGGGCCCTGGGAGACAAAGGCTGTGCTCTGGGTGCCACCCAGGGTGTTCTGAGCCTGGGGGAGAGGACACAACCAGATGCTGCCGCACTCCAGGTCCGGACCCGGCAGGTGCACAAAGCATGCCACCACCAATCCTGGAATGTCTGTGGCAAGACACACCTTCCCGGGCCCAGGAGGCCCCTGGCGGGGGTGGGGGGTGGGGTGGGGGGATTGGCAGTTTGCTCGGGTTCGGGTTCTCTCTTTCTCTCCTTCTCTCTTGCTCTCTTTCTTTCCGTCACCCTTTCTCTCGTTTCCTCTCTTGTTCCCACACAAACAACCCTCTCCAACACACCTCTCTCTATTTCTCTCTCTCTCACTCCTCTGACTCTGACAAACACCTCTCTTTCTCTCTGTGTGTCTCTGTCTCTCTCACACACAAGCACACACCCAAAGATGCACACACAAACAGGGATCTCCACCTTGCCCTCAACCCTTTTCCTGTCCCAGCCCTGGGCCCGGGCAGCTTCTGGGCAGACTGGGCCTTTGCCCCTTGGTGCCACCTAGCGGCCACCCGCAGAACTCTGAAGCCGGCCGCGGGGGTGGCGTCCCAGCCTGGCTCACAGCAGGGAATCCCCAGGGTTCAGCCCTGCCTCTCCGTGCCCCGCCCCCCCTCCCCCCAGTTCTGCAGCCGCCCAACGATAACGGGTGAGCCAGGACGGCATCCCGCGGCCGGCCTGAACCACAGGTGGAGTGGGAGGGGGACAGAAGGGCTGGGGAGAATGGGAGAACAGACCGGGCCCGAGGGCCCACCCCTCTCCCAGCAGGGTCTGCGGTCCCGAAGACGGAAGGGACCTGTTTTCTGAACGTGATGTGGAACTGGGCAGGTTGTTGGCCTGGGGGACGCCAAGGACCTCCCCACCCCCCACCCAGGTTGTGGGGAAGAAGTGAGTGGGAGCTCCGGGCGGGTAATGAATATTCATGAGGGGGTGGGTGGGCCGAGAGCCAGCAAGGCCAGCACTCAGCAGGCCACTGCGACCAGAACTGGAACCTGCGATGTGCTTGCCAGCATGGATGGCCGGCGTGGCATAACCACAGCATCCTCCTCTCGGGAACCTTGGCGACCCAGGACCGTTGACCGCGGGTCAGAGGGACGGCTGCACGCTTCCTTTGACGGCAACCCTTATCCCAGCGTCAGGCTCAGAGCAGGGCCGGGTGCAGGTGTGGTTTCAAAACGAGAGGAAAAGAGGAAGGCGCGCACAAGGCCCGCTGGACTCAGCCGCCCCCCCCCCCCGCCCCTGCTGTGGGAGAGCCGGTGGGGCCGGGCGACCTGCACCAGTGCACGCCCATCTTGGGGCCTCAGAGTAGATTTTAAAGTCTCTGAATCTATATTGCTTTTGAATATCCTGTGTATTGTCTGTATTTTAGACTAAAAATCATGTCTTTCCACTGAAATTAGTAGCAGTATAGTTTCTATATTGAATTTCTGTAATTGTTCTACTTTTGGTTTTTTGGTTTTTTTTTTTTGACAGGCAGAGTGGACAGTGAGAGAGAGAGACAGAGAGAAAGGTCTTCCTTTGCCGTTGGTTCACCCTCCAATGGCCGCCACGGCCGGTGCGCTGCGGCCAGCGCACCACGCTGATCCGATGGCAGGAGCCAGGAGCCAGGTGCTTTTCCTGGTCTCTCATGGGGTGCAGGGCCCAAGCACTTGGGCCATCCTCCACTGCACTCCCTGGCCACAGCAGAGAGCTGGCCTGGAAGAGGGGCAACCGGGACAGAATCCGGTGCCCCGACCGGGACTAGAACCCGGTGTGCCAGCGCCGCTAGGCGGAGGATTAGCCTAGTGAGCCGCGGCGCCAGCTGTTCTACTTTTTTAAATGTGTTTTGAGGAGTATCTTTTCTAATCATCCCCTACGTATACTTGTGGACCCACTACTGCTCCTACTAGTTATTCATTTCTACTCTGAATAATCACTTTACAATACGTAATAACATATACATAAATTTTTATTTTCATTTTGCCTTTATTACTGTCTCCTGTGTGTATCAATAGTAAATTCCTTGACTTCAATTCTAGCCCAGGGACACTGTGGCATATGAGTTTGCTTTTGCATTGTGAGGTCATTAACTTTTCTGTAAATCCTGCAATTCATCCTAGCAACTTTCACGTTCACCGCATCTGCGAGTCGTCCAGCACTAGTGGTCTCTTTCTCCTTTGAGATAATATACATGTTTATTTTTTCTTTTCCTTTCTGGATTTTTATGGCACTGAAATTTAATCTTTGATGTTTTCAAATTTTCTATCTACAGTTCATTTGTATTGGTATTTTATAGTCAAGTATAACTACTCTATGATGCATTTTCTTCATTTAAGTTCCAGAAATTGTCTTTATATTGCTTGAGGTGCAAATTTAATGAATAATTTTCTACTCAATTTCTGATTTCATGTCTGTCAGGCTAGTCTTGCTCCTACTAAATAACTGTGTTCTACTCACATGAATCACAATATCATTTTTTTCAGGCCACTCTCACTTTTCTGTTTTGTATTTAATTTTATGATCTCCTTTTTGTCATCAGTGTTTCATGGCAGGTCAATTGTGTGCCTGAAAAAGATCTGTACAATGCAGTTAGCATTTTCCTTGTGAGTGTACCTAGTCAGTTCAAATTAGGTAAATAATCCTACTAAATTGAACTTATACATTTTTCCAAAGTATTTTGACACCATGGACCCTCTTCATCCCTTCAAATTTTAGTTCTCTTTAGCACTTTTTTGATGTAATTCAAACCAAGTGTCACTGTTATTCAAGATTCACTTGAAATTTGATATAATAGTGATTGAAATGAAGGTATCTTACTTTTAAGCTTGTTTTTCCACGATATTTTCTGGACTTAATGAATATAATTTTTGCCATATTTTATATAAATTAAGTGTCAGGACATCTTTTGCAATGATATTCCTAGATGTGTTTCACTCCATTCATATACTAACTTACTCATCCCTAACTACAGAAATGAAAATTCAATATAAGTGATAAGATTTCCAACCATTTACTACTTTTCTCTTTGACTCTAAATTTATTATTATTGTTTTGATTATCAATAATTTAGTTAGTGGTAACCCTACCATGAGAGATGGTGGCCATCTTGGTTGACTTTATTGTCAGTTTATCAAATTTGTTTACACCCTGATTGTCATCCTATAACACTAAAGCTATCTGAATTAATTGTAATCATCCATAACCATTGACATCTTCGATCCTATGCAGGCAGTGTTCATTTTTCTTTTGCTTTTGAAAAGAATTATTTTATTTATTTGAAAGGCAGAGTCTCACACTGAGGGAGGAAGGAAGGGAGGTGAGGAGGGAGGGAGGGAGGGAATGAGAAAGAGAGAGAGAGTCTTCCATCCTCTAGTTCACTGCCCTAAATGTCCACAATGGCTGGGGCTGGACCAGGCTGTAGCCAGGAGCCAGGAATTTCATTCAGATCTCCCATGTGAGTGCAGAGGCCCAAAGATTTTTATTAACTTAAAAATTATTATTTGATCTTTGAAAGTATTCAAGCTGCCACTTTTCTTTCTAGTAGCTTTCTTATAGGAAATTATCCTTCCTATAATAATATTTTCTTATTATCTTCCAATATTTTTAAATTTTTTAAAAGATTTATTTATTTATTTATTATTTGATGGGCAGAGTTACAAAGAGGCAGAGGCAGAGGCAGAGAGAAAGAGGTCTTCCATCTGCTGGTTCACTCCCCAAATGGCCACAACAGCCAGAGCTGTGTTGATCTGAAACCAAGAGCCTAGAGCTTCTTCCAGGTTTCCCACATGGGTGCAGGTGTCCAAGGACTTGGGGCATTCTACCACTTTCCCAGACCACAGCAGAGAGCTTCATTGGAAGTGGAGCAGCCAGGACTCAAACTGGAGCCAGTATGGGATTTTGGTACAGCAGGCAACAGCTTTACTCACTATGCCACAGTGCTGGCACCATCTTCCAACATCTTATAAAAGCTTTTAAATGTAAGTTTATTATAATATTTTGCACAAAAATCCTCATCATTTTATTAATGTTCACCTCAAATTGTTTATTTCTGCTCACAACCAAAATTCAATGAATCTCAGTATGTGTATTTCTTATTACTTTTTGCGTCGCCATTGAATATTTTACTCTCTCCTGTGTCTAGCATCAATAATAGTTCATTCTAATAGTAACATAAAGAGCCTGTTGCCATCTTTGGTTATTTTCTCAGTAAGGCCTTCAACTTACTACAGCCTGTCAGTTTTCCCAGTTATTTTAAGATATAGTTTCCCAAACAATGTGGACATTTACATCTTTCACCCTTTCAAACCATATACATTTTTTTACAGTTTTTTGATGTTTATTGAATTTCAACTTAATCATTGATTGTGAAATTGTTCATCCTTTAGGTCAAAACATGGGTATTTTTCCTTTCTGAGTATTCAGTAACATAACATTAATTTTACAAGCTTAATCTCTTGCCATGTTTCTGTTATCTCTTTTAAAAATGATTTTAGAAATACTTTTCAAATATGTCCCCTATATACCCTTGGAAATCTGTTCCTGCTCCTGCCCATTTCTGCTCACAATGATCACAATACAGTACATCATGTGTCATGTACATTGATTCTTATTTTATTTAATATATATTTCACTTGATTATGGTCACTCATGTCTATCATGAGTAATCTAGTCTATTCCAACACTAGCACTGGGAAGCCATGATCATCCTTCGGTTACTTTTTTTTTAAGAGTTCATCAACTCGCTCTAAATGCTTAAAGTTACCTTAGGAACTGCCACTTATATGGATTTGAACATATTCTAGAGCCAGCACCATTATTCTCCTCAGCAGAGGATATATGCTTCATCTTTCTAGGTGTTCCTAGAATTGTGAATTAATTTCTGATTTTAGAAATTTTGCAAAGTGCATTTCCCAATAGCTATAATTTTTCCAGTTTATTCTTGACTCTTTTTAACCAAGTTCCCATCCATATGTTTGTTTTTCATTTTCTGGCTCACACGAAAATACTCATTTTTACTAGCAGCAATAAAAATATAGTTTTACCTTGCCATGTGCATCAAATTCTTATTTTTTATTTTGGGTTTCATTTTGTTGCTTTCACTTGTCTATATAATCAACATTTATATGCAAGCCAATCTTATCAATGCCAATGTATGGTCATTCTTTAGAGCATTTACATTGTAATGCTATGTATTCACTTCAAATTATTGAATTTCTCCTATTCAACTTAAAAATTCACCATCTTAAAAATCTGTCAGATAATTCTAGGACAGTAAAGTCTTTCACATTTTGAGGACACATATTTATTTTATATTTTATTCATTTTTAGACTCAAAATTGGTCATTAATTTTAAAATTTCCATGCATTTTATTGATTGCATTGGTGTTATTTTTGCTGTAAGATTATTGAATTAAATTGCATGATTTCCTTGATTTTGCTTCTTGCAAATTTTCTGTATTTTAAGTATAATTTTAGTATTATTTTTATTTATATCTATTACTTCTCTTTGTGATGCTCTTTCTGCATTTACCACATTTCCCATTGGTAAACCCAATAGTCAAAATACAATGTATATGGAATTATATACGTTTCTCTATTTTTCATGTTATATTTGAATTTATTGCTGCTATCAGAAAATAGTCAAGAACCTAGCATGAGATCTATCAGGCTTCTTTGGTTTGCTTTATCATTATTAGGCTATCACCTCTCTAAATTATGGAACTTTTCCAAGCAAATTTTATGTTTACAGTATCTAAGCACAGTCTTATCAGGTGATTCTTTCAGATTTTCTGGGCTTCCATAGAATTTGAAGCTAACTTTTATTTTGGGAATTTAGTTTAATTTTTTTTGTTTTTTGGTCTTTGAATTCATTGAGCCCAGTTTTTTTTTTTTTCCCCCCCACGGTGATGTGAACCTGTGGCCATGAAGTTTTAAATTTTCATTGTGAGATCATCATCACCTCCAACATTCTATATGTGCTCAGGAAATCATCAGGTATCCAATATCTCAGAGCTATCTTAAACAAGGGTATTCATTTTCTCTCTTCAAGGTAATAGATATATAAATATATGTAATTATATATATATATATATTTATAGAACTTGGAATTATTTTTTGTTTATTCAATTTTGTTACTTATTGAAATGTTCTGTTGGTCTAAATACTGGTACATGTTCTGAAAAT